GCGGCCGCATAAGTTCCTCTCGCCCTGCTTCCTCCCCAGATTTCTGCAGGACAGCTTGATGGAGTAAAGAGCCCCCTCTAAGGACCTCCCGGCGCTCAGTAATGGGTTATTTTTAATCATACACCTTGGCAATCACATCGGCACAAGCGCACAAATACGGCTAAGGCTGATGCTCAATAAAACTTTCCTTAATGTCAATCCAAAATTAATTCCGTCAACCACACTGAATTACCTTGCTATCTCTGTAGAGAAAAATTACCAGATTATTATCAAGGAATAAATAGTATGCAATCAGAAATATGCAGGGAGGAAAAGTGGTTGTCAGTGTAACAAAAATAGCTTATTTGCCTGGATTCTGTGGATGTTGTCGCCATTTGCTGGGACTTATTTCCCTTCTAAGTGAACCGTCAGCTTGCTGCCTCCTTCCACGGTGGCAGCCAGGGTGGCTGGTGGTGTCTCTCCAGCCCAGGGCGGGGCGAGTCGGCCCAGAGACCAGACATCTCCAGGCCGCACGTATCTCAAGCGCGCAAAGGGAGATAACCCGTATTCGCGTTTTCACAGGATGCTCGCGCAGCACTGTAGGCTGAGAAGCGCGGGAGCAGCTCGGATCAGCGCCGGCCTTCGCGTCCCCACCCGCCCGGCGGGCCGGGCTCTAAGTCCGCCCTCCGCCCTTCCGCCCTTCCGCCCCGTAGCTCCCGGCGCGGGGCCGGGCGCGCGGGTCGCGCGATACACTGAGCCCTAAGATTGCTACTCAGGAGGCTGAGGCAGGAGGATTGCCTGAGCCCAGGAGTTCAAGGCTGCAGTGAGCTATGATCAGGCCACTGTACTCCAGCTTGGACGACAGAGCAAGATCCTGGCTCTGAAAAATAAATAAATAAACGGGAGTGCCCTACAGAAGTAACACATGAGGAAGGGAAGGAAAGAAACAGGACTAGACAGCTTACCTCTATCAATAGAATGACCCTTCAGTGTTGTCCCCCACTGCAGTGAAATGGCACAGCCTTCATACTCCCACCTGGATCAGTCATTGGATCTGGGCCACCCTGGGGCAGAGCGACCCTGGCTGAGGTGGCTCTCTGCAAATGAATAATCCCAGAAGTGGCTGGCAGCTGAAAGCTCTGTCAACAGTCCTCCCAGAAGTCTGGGCATCTTGAAGGGGAATCTGGCCGGAACGTCTCTGGGTGCAGGGCAACCTTTTTTGGACACTTTACACTCCATGGGCCCATAAGTTCCTCTCGCCCTGCTTCCCTCCCCAGATTTCTGCAGGACAGCTTAATAGGAGGTAAAGAGCCCCCTCTAAGGGACCTCCCGGCGCTCAGTAATGGTTTATTTTTAATCATACACCTTGGCAATCACATCGGCACAAGCGCACAAATACGGCTAAGGGCTGATGCTGAATAAAACTTTCCTAAAATGTCAATCACAAAATAAATTCCGTCAACCATACTGAAGACTGAATTGCCTTGCTATTCTCTGTAGAGAAAATGTTACCAGATAATATTATCAAGGAGGAAATAGAGTATGCAATCAGAAATATGCAGGGAGGAAAAGTGTTGTCAGTTAACAAAAATAGCTTATTTGCCTGGATTCTGTGATGTTTGTCGGCCATTTGCTGGGACTAATTTTTCCCTTCTAAGTGAACCGTCACCTTGCTGCCTCCTTCCGCGGTGGCAGCCAGGGTGGCTGGTGGTGTCTCTCCAGCCAGGCGGGCGCGGAGTCGGCCCAGAGACCAGACATCTCCAGGCCGCACGTATCTCAAGCGCGCAAAGGGGAGATAACCCGTATTCGCGTTTTCACAGGATGCTCGCGCAGCACTGTAGGCTGAGAAGCGCGGGAGCAGCTCGGGATCAGCGCCGGCCTTCCGCGTCCCCACCCGCCCGGCGGGCCCGGGCTCTAAGTCCCGCCCTTCCGCCCTTCCGCCCTTCCGCCCTTCCGCCCCGTAGCTCCCGGGGCGGGGCCGGCCGCGCGGGTGCGGATTGGCCGAGAGCAAGCAGGGCTAACTGTTTGAAAGGCCCAATCAGCGCCCGGATACTCCGAGACAGCCAATAGGAAGCCGAGAGAGGGCAGAAGGGGCGGAGTCGCCTGTTTGAGCCGGCGGCGCGCGGGGGACCTGCCGCCCGGGGTTGCTGCGCGGTTCGTGGCCGGGTCTGCCGCGAGCCATGGCGGGCGAGGTCCCGGGGCGGGACGCGCTGCTGCTGCGGAAGCTCCAGGAGAGCCGCTGCCGCTTCCAGAAGCGCATGCAGCGGCTGATAGAGAAGGTGCGGCCCGCGGCGTCCGCGAGGAGGGGCGGCCGGGGCCGGGGCTGCGGGCCGGGGCCTGCGGGCCGGGGAGGGGCCGGGCTCGGAGGGCGAGCGAGCGGGGCAGGCAGGGCTGGGGCTCCGGGGCGGAGCGGGGGCTCGGGACGCCCCGGGCCCGACCAAGCCTCGAGCTGGCTGGCGCCTCCGTGGCCCGAGTCCCGGGCTGCTCGCGGGCCTCGGACCTGACGGGAAGCCCTTCCTTCCCCGCAGTACAACCGGCCCTTCGAGGACGCGCCGCTCGTGCAGATGGCCACGCTCACCTACGAGACGCCCCAGGGTAAGGAGGCGGCCTTCCCCTCCCGTGTGCTTACGGTGGAGAGTGGCAGTAGAATCGTGTGTTCGGCTATGGAATCTGAAATGCTGTCCCTGCTCTCCTGTGGGGTAAACCTTGGTCGCCCACCTAATGGGAGCCAAACCATCACTTGTTCCTTTGCACCTATAAAGGGCTCGTTTCCAACAGCGTTGCTTGTTAAAACAGAGTTCCTGAAGACACATAGATGCGTCCTGGTTAGACAATGCCTCTGCCTGCCTGGGTTGTCATCCCAGCTGGACACTTAGTGGACACGGGGGTTAAGTTGCTTAGCCGCACTGTGTCAGTGTCCTCATGTTAAAATGGGAAGGATGACAGCAGTTAGGTAGCGTCCTGTGAAGCTCTTGGAACGGTCCCCAGCCCTGGTAAACACTTGCAGTGTCTGTTGAGCACGTGAAGAGAGATCAGAAGCCGCCCTGTTTAATGGTTAATGTTGTGAACTGACCTCGAAATCTCACGAATTCTCCTTGGTAAATAGCTGGAGAAAGTTGGCACTGGGTGAGGTCAGTTCCTCCCCTACAGCCTTAGTAACAGCTTATCATTACTTACTAATGAAAGCAAATCTCAGATCAAATTCTGGGCTGCATTAAACATACAGGCACAAAAGGTTCGTAAGATCTGCTCCTTGAATTAAATGAAATATTTGCTCTCTGCCTTTTTGGCTGGTCTAGCCACACCTCGGATGAAAAGTTTACACAGGCAGAAACTAAAATATTCCAGTGACGTGATTCTGTTATTCTCCGCTCTGCACCAGGCCACGAGAAATGTAACCTGAGGGCAGGACACAGGGCTGTATAGGAATCCTTCCTAAGGGTGCGGCTGGCAGGCTTCTCTGTGTTCTTAGGGACTGTTCATGCAAGGATGGGCAGTGTCTAGAATGTTGTGGACAATCCACGTTTCCTGAATACCACTGATTTCACCAGTGAGAATTCATTTTTTTTTTTTACTTTAGTTTGATGAGAACAATAGTGGAAGCAACTCAGTACCCTGCAAGCAGTCTCTGTAGCATGTAGAAGACTCCTGGAAAGCTTGCTAAATAAAACACAGATTCCTGGGGCCACTCACAGCAATGCTACCTGCTGGTTTCAGTAGATTTGTGTTTCTAACAAGCTCATGGCTAATGTTGCTAACACTGTGACACTGATTTTGATGAAGACAGCAGGGAAGTAATGTCAATGTTCACATGCATTGACAGCTTATCGTGTGCCCTACAATCCTAAGAGTTTCATATTTTGATTTTTAACAATCCTTCGAGGCAGGCACTGTTCTTTGAGGACACTGTTCTGGAGGCTGCTGCCTCCAGCCTCTGGAAGTCCAAAGCACTATCCATTGCGCCACGGAGCCAGCTTGTTCTTAGGTTCATCAGTATTTAATAGCAGGTACAGCACAAAGAGGTTAAGTAACTTGGCCTGTGTCACTTAACCAAAGTGGCAAAGCCTTGACTTGGGGCCACATCCACAAGCCTCGCTCCATTCTTAGAAGGTCCACAAGGAACAATGGTCAAGAGTCCACTCTGCCCGGAGTTCACTTTCTGGCTCCACGGTGTGGGGAGGGGGCCTGGGCTAGCGGTTTGGGCTTCTTGTCTCTGTGTGTCCGTCTGTACAATGAACATGGTAGGTCCCTATCCCGTAGTGTGTTAGGGGCACTATATGAGTTCTATGTAAGTGGGTTGTTGTGATTACTAAATGAGGTACACTTGGAAAGTGCTTAGAACAGATCCTGGAACATAGTAAGCACCACATAAGTTTTTGCTGCTATTATTATATTAAGAACCATCTCAAGCCTTGCAACCCAACAACAATTCCTTCTTATTGCAGAGATTGAGTATATTGCCCAACCTGCTAGCTGGTAAGTGGCAGGACTAGGTGTGCTTGAACTCCAGTGTTGATGCATGTGCTTGGGCTTGCTCTATACGTGTAATGCACAAATTGCCCTTAGAAAGCATTTACTCTGTATGGGAAGTAGAGATTGCCCTTGAAAAGTACTTACTTTCTCTCTATATGTATGGATTGCCCTCGGTGTATATATTTTAAGGAAAGTACCCAGCATGTGTATGTTCCTTGCTTACATTTAATTTTTTAGGTCAGTGATGTGATTTGATGAGCCATTGCCTACAAAGTAGGTGAGATTTCCACTAATGACAAATTTGTTTAATTTTGACTTTTAAAAAAACCCTTCACCTTCACAAAGGTGAACAACAAAAGAATATCAGAAACCTGGCTTGGTTTTAATTTTATCATTTTTTGGCCTGTCCCTTTGGCTCTCTCTGAGTGCAGATTGAGTAGGAATTCCTCATTCAAGATTACTTGCGTGGTAATTTTTGTTTTTTTTTTCTTAAGGCTTGAAAATTTGGGGTGGAAGACTAATAAAGGAAAGAAACAAAGGACAAATGCAGGTATTTAATGCCAGGTGTTATTGCCAGAATGCCTCGCTGTGCAGGAGTGTGGCTGTGATAAAGGTGTGAGTGCACTTCTAGGGGCTGCCGCAGGGGACTTTGTTTGCTCACCTTGACTGCCCTGTTTTTCTGTTTATAAGGATTTACTGAGAAACATGTCTTCTGTTGCTTGTCAAGTGCAGGAAGGAGCTGTGTAATGTCTGGCCTTTTTTGTCACCCGTGTTTCCCGTCATAGGTCGGGTGGCTCTGACAACTGGATTGCATGTGCAGAGGCTGGGCTGGCTGGGTAACCCTCCCCTGGCCACACTCCAGCCCAGCGAGGGGCTCACTTTGTTGGGTCCTTATAGAAGAGACAAAATCCAGTTCTTCCTAGGGAAGAAAAATGCCTTCCTCCTCTGGGAGGAGGAAGAAGAGAGATAGGGGAGGATTCAATGTGCAGGATCACACATTTTTTCCTTCTGCACTTTTCTACCTTTCAGAGACCGAGGTTTTTCCTTCCCTATTTGATCCAAAGGCGTGGCAACTACAAGATCTATTATTTTAATGAAATGTGCTAATGCAGTTTGCCTTCCTACTGCAGCCCAAGGAGCCTTTTGTCATAGTAGCCTTTGCAAGATTGTCTGATGTCCCATTAGTCACTGCTTCTCAGATACCGCAGGGTCCCTCCTCACAGTCACAGGCCAAGGAGCTGATACTCAGGAGTGAGAACATCCAGGTTAAGGTGACTTAGCATTAACGGCAAATTGAAAATCAAATCTTTTTTATTTTTTTGGTCATAGAAACGTTAGAAATACGTAGAACTACTTAAAATTAGTTTGACTTCTTATGCAGATACAGTCACTAATGCTATTTTGGTATAATATGATTCCTTTTTATAATATACATCTTTATAAATACACATTTTTTTACCCTCCTGTTTCCGGTTAATATATATGGAGAACCCCTCTCTTCATCATCTATTATATAATTTCAATCACCAATTTTTTAAACTGCTCTCCTGTTGACAGGCATTTAGCTATTTGTGCTTTCCTTATTATAAATCAGGGTCGGCACACTTAGTCCACAAAGGGCCAGATAGTAAATATTTTAGGCCTTGCAGCTGTGTTCTCTGTCATAACTTCTCAGCTCCATGGCATATGGGGGAAAGCAGTGTAGAAAATACGTAAATGAGCACATGGGGCTGTGTCCTGGTAAACTTTTATTTATAAAACCCTGTCCTCGATAGTGTAGGACTAAAGAAACATCCATCAGGGAAATATCCTGGTCCTTATCTCTTCCCAACACTGATACCCTCCCTTTTTAGTAAATGCCAAGAAGTGGGATTATTGGGTCAAAGGAGATGTACTCTGTAAATTATGCATAATAGAGACACCCCCTCAGTGGACCGGTACTTGGATGGCCCTGGTGGCAGAATGTTCTGGACATCTATCTAAGGTTTTTGCTTAAAACATAGGGGGCCCCTGTCTGGAGTCTGCAGAATTTTCAGACCGTTTCTTGGGGTTATAAAACAACACAGTCTGTGATTGGAGCTTGGACATCTGTAACATCACAAAAATTCCCGTTGGTGACTGTGCCCAAATCTGCCTTCACCTTTTCCCAAATGCTGGCGGTGTCCTGGAGGCTGTGGCAGGCTGTGCACCTGCCTACGCTGGTTCGCTCTCTATGCAAGGCTTGCGTTCTCTGTAGGTACCCAAGCTGCCGAGCAGTTAGGGGTTTGTGTGGATCAGCTGCTTCCCCTGATTCTCAAACCAAGTTCCACCAGCCCTTCAGACACAGCCACGAAACGGCTCTGTAAACTCCAGGAAGTCCCACCTGATGTGATGGTTTCATTGGAGGCAAAGGTGCTGATATTCTGGAACAGGATTCACTTACCACGTGGTGCTCAGGGTAGCGCCAAATCTCAAGTCCTTGGAGATGACATCTGAGGACCCTCCCTAAACGGATAGGCCTTGTCACCTTCTCACTGCCTGTTCTTGCAAGACTGGGTGGTTCTTAAATATTTTAACCATTCTGGCTTCTTGAATATTCTAATTTCACTAATGAGACCCCATCAGTGCCATCTGCTGGGATTATCAGTGGGGCCTCTGGTGCAGTGGGCTCTAGGGCAGGTGCAGGCCTCGCCGGGAGGGCGGCTGGCTGACCAACCCTGCCGTGCAAGCTCCAAGTCAGCACCCAACTGCCCCTCCGGTGTAGCTGAGGCTTAAACCACAGGAGCTCAGGAGTCCTAGGCCTCATGACATCACCATGCACGCTACGTCACATTGAGATAAAGACCACAGGCAGTCCTCCAGGGGCCTCTTAGCTATTTCTGGATTCTCCACGATGACCAAGTGACAGTTTTGTTCTTTTTCACTTCGTCTTGTTTGCCTCAGTCCTCGTGGAGCCACACGTGGGCCAGGGCTGGGGTGTTAAGAGACAGGGGCACCTCCACATGTGCCTCTGCTCTGTCGTTCAGGCAGCCACCCTGGGCACAGCCCCAGGAAGAAAACTCTGCTGGTTTCCAAGGGGCACCTTGACCAGCTCATGGGCATCTTGAGGCCTTTCGGAAAGCAGATGTGCAGGGAGACGAGAAGCCTCGTGCAGCTTCCTGCTCCCTCCTGTGTTAGTGGAAAGATTGCAGGTTCATTACAGCGGCTTTGAACTGTGCTGTGTCTAACGAGTGTGTCTTTATTGACTTCTGCACCTCAAGGACTCCCCTGTGATGCCCACGGATGGGACACATGGCCCCGTGCGAGCCACAGCGCAAGGCCCTGAGCTTCCCGAACAAAGCACACAGGTCCTGGAAGCTGGTGAGTGTCACCTTTGTTAGAGCGAATTCAGGAGGGACTGGGCTTGTCACGTCTCTGTTACAGCAGTTTAAAGTCTACAGTCCTCATTATTAAAGTTTTTAATTTCTCTAAGATATATTTTAAAAACCAAAAACAGCTTAAAGTGCCCTATCAATTCCTTCTGAGCTCCCTGGAGGATCGGGGGCCGTGTCTTGCCCACAGTTACATCTGCGGTGCTCAAGTGTTTCTTGAACAAATAAATGTGCCCCCACTTAAAAAATGAATATCAAGATTTAATGAGATTGAAGCTTTGCCCTCACAGGGTGGTGGTGTGAATGCTCGCTTCTGTGCAAAAGCCACCCGCCCCTGCCTCTGCGGCCACCCATGTTTCCTTCCTCCTCCTCCTCCTCCACTTCCTCCTCCAGGAGGCTCCTCTGCCGCCCCCCAGGCCAGCCCCCCTGCCCTCCCCTGACACTGGCCCGTGTCCTCAGGGATCCAGCCGTCACCCCTGCTTTCTTTCTGTCCTCAGCCCCTTACCTGGAGCATCCGTCAGCATTGACACGAGCCCAGTTTCACCTTCAACACACAACACTTCACGGACCTCCCCCATCCCCCGTCCGTCCCGTGTCCCTCTCTAGCTCCCCCGCTTTGTTCAGTCCCTACAACCAAAGTCAGCCCCTGCTGGCCGGCTGTCTGGGACTCCCTCCCTGCGCGTGCTCCTCACCCGGCTCCATTCCGGCTTCCAGCTCCGTCTGAGAGATGCCGTGACTGTCCCTGAGAGGAAAATGCAAGCTCTTCTAAAAGTCCTGATTGAGATTTCCTTTTCTTACTTTCAGATTCAGAAAGCAGCGATGTCGATGCAACTTTAGACCAGGAAGATCTGGCTGCGTGGGCTGTCACGGTGAGCACTGCCTTTGGTGGCGCATGGCCGCAGTGAGCCTGGGGTCCGGGTGCACGTTCTCTCAGCTGTCAAAGCCCAGGCAGCCTGGGGCAGCACTGCCTGCACCTGTCTGTCTGGAAGTCCTCTTCCGAGGCTCACTGTCGCTGCTACCACCCCTCAAGTCTTTGGTTCCCCCCATTTGGGTCCCCTAAGGCAGTAGGTCCCTCCCCAGTCTAGCAGTTAGCGGCCGCTACCCGCCCCCATTCAAGCTTCGTCTACTGAACTTACATGGTTGTGAGTCACCCTGGATGGTCTTCACTCAGCAAATAGAACTGACACACTGTGGTTCACGGGGTGCCATTTGTCTCCAGTGCGCAGGTGACATTAAAAGGGGGGCTCTAAGCCTTGCTCCACAGAGCCAGTGTCACAGGGAGGTGTTCTAGGAAGTATCTCCCGGTCAGCCCTTAGTCACCAGGTCTTGTAATCAGGCAGCGTCCCTAACCTAAATGGTAAGTGTTGTCAAAACACTTACCAAGTGTTGTCAAAAGTGTTTCCCAGAGTGCCCCAGTGGTCACGGAAGCCACCACTCTCCTTATAGGATGCGATTCTCACCTCCCTCTAGCTAGGATAGATGAGAATTCACGCTGAGCTTAACCCACTCGGGTGTCTTTGCTGGCCCCTGTGTCACGTGCCGTCACATGCTAGCATGGCTGGCGCCGCGGTTTTCCTCTAAAACTGCTCTTCTTATGCAAGGGTTGCCCATACACCCATGTGACTTTTAGTGACTAAGCAGAAACAGGTAATGACCCTGAGGAAGGAAAGGGGTACCTACTGAAGTGTCAAGTAGGGAGTGGCAGTGAGGTGGCGTGGGTGGCCCCGGTAGTGAAGAACTGGCCCTTCCCTGGCAGTGTGTGTGTCATCCTCCCTGGTCAGCCTACCCAGGTGCAGAGAATGGAGGGTGACACCTGTTCCTAGTGTCTGGCGGATGGAGATAGGCCATTCCTGGCCTCCCGAGTTAGAACACTGACCAGTTGGGGTTATTACTAGTGAAAAAAACCTGGATATTCTTAGATGAGGTTAGTTGAGTCCTAACCTCATCTAAGAATATCCAGGTTGTTTTCATTTTTTGTTTCTGTTCTTATAATGCTGTCATAACTTCTCCAGACTTTTACTTTTGTGTGTGTGTATTTTTTTGCCTTTTAATTTTCTTTTGGGTTGTTCACATTGGGTAAATTTCTTAAAGTCAGATTACTGGGTCGGCGGAGTTTCAGAGCAGCTGAACTACTTTGTGCTGCTAACAGCAGGAAGTGAGAAAGTAACTTTGGGTCACTTCATTTACAGATCTGTGCATTAGTGAGCTTGCCAGTTTGTTCCAGAATTCAAGAGGTCATCTGCACCCAAAAGCTCCTAAGAATACTGACTTCTCTTTTTTTGATCAGCCTGCAGTGCCTCAAAGCCCTTTGAAAAATGAGTTAAGAAGAAAATACTTAACCCAAGTGGATCTACTGCTACAAGATTCAGGGTGTTTTGAGGTAATAAATTTTTCAGTGTTTGTTTTTTATATAATTAGATCGTACACTAATGACACATGGAGATACAATATGATCATGTTTTTTGTTTACTCTCAATGGAGCCTATAAAGAGCATTTTGAACAATTATTCCCAAACTGTTTTATTCACGTGTTGACAGGCTTCTGCTCTCCTTGAATGAACACTCCAGGTCCCCAAGGGCAGCGCCATGAGGGCAACTGGCGGAGGTGGGAGCCCTCTTGGGCGCACCCTCCACTGCCTGCTGTTCTGGGGCTGCCCAGAGTCCAGTAGGGCCACGTGTGGGGTTCTCAGGGGCAGCCCCGGCCTCTGGATGGAGGGCTTTGAAGCTGCATAACTAGGGAGGCAGTGGCTCCCACCTTCCCTGGCGTGACCAGGCAAGGGTCAGCAGCAAGGTGAGTCGGCTGCCTGGTGGCCCTAGCCTGTCCCTCCCGATCTGGGGTCGTGGTGGGGTGAAGCCTTGGGTGGCAGCGTGGATGGCACAAGGGGTGGGTGGCCTGGCCAGCTCCCCTCCCAGGCTGCCCTCAGTTCCTCTGCAGCTGCCTTCTCGGAGCTTTGCCCAAAGAAGAGTGAAAAAGCTAAAGATGGAGCTTCCTATGCGGATGCCACAGCCTTAGTTTTCCCAGTTCTGTCAATGTCTTTTTTTTTTACAATAAAGGACGTTTTAATACCAAATGGCTAGAAAGTACACATTGCAGAATAAAGAGTAGTTCAACTCCCAAAAGGCGGCAGTCGTAACTGCGCTGCTGACCCGCGCAAGGCCTGTGTGTGAGGGCCGCTGACTCAGTGGCTGTACTAGGAATGAGTTTTTCCTTTACCCTAAAGCGGTAAGTGGTGTCCTCTTGGTTGCCGTGTTGATCAGAGGCAGAGACTGGAGTTAAGAACGGCTCTATCGGGTCTCCTCTGCCCACCACGCCCCTGGCCCCTCTGTGTTCTTGTTGTCCGAGTATCGTGGTGGACAAAGGAAAGCCACCAACCTTTCCAGGTGAGGGAGTTACTGGCAGACAAGTGGTAGCTTGGAGGCCACATGGACAGAGTTCCCAGTCTTACTGGGACACTTCTTCCGTCCACTGCTGGAAACCCAGCCGGCCCCTGTCACCATGGTTACATGCTGGTCAACTCCGCCATGCTAAGACTCGCAGTCGGTGTTGACGGGGGAGCAGCCCTTCACACCACCGCTGGGGGACGTTGCATGGTGAGAGGACAGCCCCGCTCTGTGCGCCCTGGGTCTCGACATTTGACAGCTCTTGTAACCACTGGCTTTGATTTCAGTGCGCAGACGACGACGGAGCTGAAAAGGACACACTCGTGACCCTGCTCCCCTCGCTGGCCTCCGCCGCCACGCCTGCCCCTGGTGAGTGTGACGCAGACGCTTCGCGTGAACCGTGCGTGCCCCCAGCGCTTTTGCTGGAGCCCCGCGCAGCCCCGCAGCTCAGCGCTGCTCGTGCCGAGATTTGGAAAGTCTCACGTTAAGGAAAATGAGCTGTTTTTCCCTCTAAAATTCTGCTGTTGATCCCAGCTTAACCAGTTTGAAAAGTTTTGGCCCTCCAGGAGCACAGGACTAGTATAAAGAAAGAACACCCTTCTCCTGTTTCACAGTTAACATCTTGTCACATGTGCTTTGTCACCCACCCCACCCCCGGCACATACATATCCCTCCGGTATGTGTGTGTTTGCAGTTGTGTGTTTACTGTTCCACACGTACCTCCTAAGAACAGGCTAATTCTCCTACATGGCTGCAGAAAGCTTAGCGCAAGCCGGAAATCGAACATTGACACACGATTTCACCCATCTGTGCTGGTCTAGGCAGACTGTCCCTCAATTTGGACCTGTCTTATTGCTTCCTCATGGTTAGGTTCATGTTAAACATTCTTGGCAAAAACATTGCATGGGTGAAATATCCCCTCGGGACATCAGGTCAGTCTGCCCTGTTGGCAACTTTTGAGCCTGGCGCTTTAGCTCTGGTGGGACCCACCCAATTTCTCCCACGAAAGGGCCTTTTGCCTTGGAGCCTTCTCTGGTGACCCTCTGAGGTCTCCGGCAGCCTTACGTTCAGAGTTATTTGGATTCTTTTTCCTCTTTTAGTTATTAATTGGA